AGCCACCCAGAGTCACCCATTGGGGGAGATGGGCGGCATACAAATTTAATAATAAATAAAAAAAAAATGTATAATATATGTAGAAAACATTATTTTTAATATTTTTCCTAGGGTCACAGTAGAGATGTATCATATCCTAAGAAATGGAGCAAGGTAACATAAAGGCTGACATTCTGTCCCGGTGGCAATTAAATTTAGAGCTAAGGTAATATCACTTCTATTCTATGATGCACAATTCTCCTCTTATAAAGGTATAATATCCCTAAAAATAATTCAGTCTGGATTTATGGGAATCACTCATCATGCTCTCCCATTCATCTCAAAAGGTATATTGAAATTTGAACTAGGATCTCTTTCTATAGCTGCTTGCGTGCAAATCTGTGTCCTGAGATACCGGCTGAAATTAAATTTTGGGAGCAGTTATTTAGTTCAGCTTGTTCTCACAGACAAATTCAAGTCTTCTTGGAAGAAAGCTAGAGCGTGATCTTACTTCTTGTGGCCTATGAGCTGAGCATTAATACCGATAGGCAATTCTTTACTTATTTGGTGCCTTCTAGTCAGTTGTGTCTCCTTGTGACTTTTTTTTTTGTGACTTGTCCAAAGTCCCTCCAGTTTTTTTGGAAGTGGTTTGCCCTTGCCTTCTTCCTAAGGCTGAGAGAGAGGGACTGACCCAAAGTCACACAGCTAGCTTCATACCTAAGGTACACGTGGAATTCAGTTTCTAATCCAGTGCCTTTAACCAGTAGACCAAATTGGCTTTCAATGAGGGGTTTGAAGCAAGCTAATTCTGAAGTCAAGCAATTTGGTTCAGATCATGATATACAGAGCCAAAGATATACATATTGATAAATCCAAACTCCCAAATTATATTTTAGAGAATGTTTACCTCAGTCCTAATATACACACACATACAGAGTGTTTTAATTGGTCTTTGCCTGTAAATTTATAAATAAAACATGTGCCAAATAGCCATGTCTCCTCATGGAAAAGTAGATTCCAAGTCAGCACAGCATGTGTCTTCTGCTGGCTATCAAGGGAACAATAGTCACCACACCTATATACCCATATAATTTCTGCAATAATTTGGTGCTGATTCCTAAACTGTAGAGAGAATAAGGAATGGCCTTGAAGGACAGTGGGAAGTTCCGTTATCAAGGCAATGATCAGACAAGCATGGTTTAAGTCCATCCAAGAAACTAACTTAGGAAAACACCTCAGACGGGCCCCCCTTAATTCACACAAAGATAAAGTGAGGGAGGAAGGAAGCACATTCAGACATGCAAGATTCTGTTGCTATAGCTGTCCTAAAATAGTTTTAGATCTATGTGGCATTGATTTCTTAATCTGGTCTACCTTATAGGGCAATATAAGTAAACTACGTCTGCCTAAAGCTCTTTCCCCTATAAATCATTTATGTTACATCCAGGGTCTGAAATTACATAGCTTTGCCACAACATTTATAAAGCGTTGCTTCTACTGTGCTTAGGTATAAGCACATATCAAATACTGCTACTATCACTACTAATACTATGTGAAAAATGCTCAGACTTTTAAAGAATTCCATAGGGACCCTTTCCTTGGTGATTTCTTTTTTCTCAGAATGACATGAAGATAAAAGTATCCAAAATCTCCTGGAGTGTTACTTGACCCCTAGAGTTCCCAAGAAAGGAAACTTGGCTACTTCCATGTGGAGCATGTAATCCTTGGTCTCCTGTTCACACAGAAGAAAAGGATTGTCTTCAGAGATGACTATCCAAGCATGCTTTAAAGATGATCTCATAGAAGGTCCTATTAACAGTAGATGGACACTTTTTGGGGGGTGCCTTTAAGTCCATGCAGATTTCTTAGCAACATTTTTCAGAAGTGGTTTGCCATTACTATGGCTGAGAGAGATTGATTGGCCCAAGGACACCCAGCTGGCTTCATGCCTAATGTAGCACTAGAACTCAGTCTTCCATTTTCTAGCCTGGCGCCTTTAACCACCACACTAAACTGGCTTTCAGACAGACATTAGTTGTTCCATCTTAATCAGGCTAGTAGACACTTATTTGTATTAATCAGGCTCTTCCATTTTCTTGAATAAACATTGGCCCAATCAAATTAACTGCTCAAATGCTCCTAGGCTTCATTGTCTTCAATTCTCCCATGCATCTAATTTTTTTGTTGCTCACTAGTTAACAAACACATGCCTGCAGCTAGAGTTGAAAACAACTCTAATAATAATCTTGGTCTAATATAATCTGCTTGCATTTGGCTAAAGCTACTGAAAAATGATTTATGTATTAATGCTGAGCAGGCTGGAGGATACAAGAATGACAGCTCATGAAAAAATATGAATTAACAACATTTGTTTTTGTGTTCAGTTATAAGGCATTATAGTTCTACCATGAACAAAACAAAGAGCCAATATCTATAGCAAATTTGTATGTATGTTGCTTCATAGGTCAGTTCCACCAAATTCAGTAAGAAATGCTTGCTTTTAAGACAGTAGGTATATGTATGTGATCAAATGCTTAACTTTTACTGTCATATCAGATTTATATTCCTATACTTGCTAGTGGGATACAAAGCCCTAGAAATCTTGCAATCCAGGCTATTGTTTGTACACATACTATTTCTCCCTCAACAATGAGTCTTATTTCCATGCATTCTAATAAGAACAATTTAAAAGAAAACTTACAGGCTTTGGAGTTTTCCATGGTGAAAAGAACCCTAAAAAAAGAAAAGAGAACAAAGTAATGAGAATTCAAATATGATTCACTTGTCATAAGCCTTACAGATATCTCCATCTCCATTTCCATGAATTACAAAACATGACTGCCATCTTGTCAGCCAATAGCACAACAGAACATATGGAAAAACATTATTTCATATTCAGCTATTTTCATATTTAAAAACAATTGTCAGAGATAAATCTCTGTATTAAAAAAATAAATTAGAAAAGTTTTGGGGGAAAAAAATCCCCAACTACTGCAATCAGGGGGGTTTCACAGCTTAATACGTTACCAATCTATCTGGATGACTGCCTGTGTCTTTATCTACACTATCTACAAATATATAAATGAAGGTAAATGACTGGCCTAAATAGCTAGTCTAAATTTCATAAATGTAGCATTTATCCAAAATGTGTACTATCAAACTATGATTTTTTTTTTCTATTTATAGTTTCATGAGTTACTTTCTGAGGTAAATTTGGCCTTTCATGCAAAACCCTTTCTTTGCCAACACTGTCTTACTCCTCCGAAGTATAACCACGTAGGTCAGTGTTTCTCAACCTTGGCAATTTTAAGATGTGTGGACTTCAACTCCCAGAATTC